CAGTGACATCCCTCAAACGATGCATGTGTATATGGTGGTCAATGATGTATATAACCGATGTGCTTTTCTCTAGTGGAAAAATGCTGATTGACAATTTGACCTAAGCTGCTAATCGGCATGTTGCCCTGTTGTAGCCGATCACCCCACAGATGGTGCACTTGTATGGCTTCCTCGCCTTTCCGCCAACCTCACCATGGGATCTGATGCGTCTTTCCTTGGACGACCTGCTTGTTGAACATACGCTGCTGGGGGGATACTAAGGTCAGCTGTAAGCAAATCGTACTCAGGGATCACTAGTGTCCCGGGATTTTCTTGGTACGAGGCCACTGTGTAGCATTCATCCATCAACTCATACGCTGACTCGACCATGTTGTAGTCGAGAATAGTCGCAATTAGATGGCGACACGCAATTCGATGTTGAGTACACGTTAAGCATGAACACGTCAATGATTTTAAGTCAAGGCGACGCTGCTTCGTCGGGTTACTGATTCTGGCAATGAATGCAACGTCATCTGAGCTAAATGTCACCATGTAGTCCGCTGATCTCCGAGTTGAACTTGAATTTTACGTTCTGCACGCGGCGTCAGCTTACGATCCGCATTCACCCACAACTGACCTAGTCGGACCCGGTTGTACGCCTCACCCATGAAAATTGTCAGATATGACTTGAAAATCTCGTATGGTTGCATTTTCCGTGCCTTACGGCGAAGAATCTTCGCTTGTTCGCTTTCCACGAAGTTCGTTGTCCGCCAGCCATACCAGGATGTAGTGTTGGCATGGGGGTGAAGTCTCCAATTGCTTGCAGGTATGGCACTAGGATAAATTGTAGCTGCTGGGTTTCCAGCATAACACTTTCCGATCGCGACATCTTAGTCGGCATGAGACACAGCTGCGTTTGCCCCACACACAAATTGCTCTTGAGTCACGGTTAGTCTGACTGTCTTATCAGTTCTCATATTCCCTATGGAGAAATAATCCATGCGAGTACTAGCGAAACATGTACTCTAGACCACGTACCGATGATGTGACGAACACAAAACTGTTGAAGATCCCCGAGTGATTCCGCGTCCGACACCAGACTGACGTTGCGATCGCTAAGGACTGGGCATGCAGTCAGTGGAAAGCCATTGTGTAGAAATTTACTGAATAACCACATGTACTTGTAATAGTCTTCGACTGGAGCTAGTGCCACAGCAACAATCTTGTTGATAAGATTACCATCGCGACCGACCATCAAGATCTGAACACTTTGTACTTGCGGTGTTTAATTTGCGCTGCATCAACTCCGTAAACACAAGGGCCACTGGTGAATCATGAGGGACTGTGCAAAACAATCGCACGTCTGAATCACCCGCGTTCGTCACACTGGACCTCCGTCAACACTCCAGTATTCATACGCTGGATTTCGCCAGCAGACTAGGCAAGAGCCGAATGTTCAGCGGGTCTCCATCGTGAGTTTCTGCCATCACACAGTCCTTGGAGCGATACATCATGTGCTGTGACGCTGTTACCTCCTTTTGGTGTCGAAGCTGTGCGACGAGAGCGTTGGTTGCTGTGGCTGGGTTAGCTGCAAGTGAACCACGGACCACAGGGTTGTTGACTAACTGGATTCGTGATGGCTTAGCTACACTAACACAGTTTTGTGATCGAGGTCGCCTCCCATCACATGCCAGTCTCCTGGGTGATTCTTGGGTCGAAATCGTGCTAGACGAACCTGCCACTCACAACCAATAGTTGCACTGTCACACTGTAATAAACGAAACGTCCCCCCTCTGTTGATGACGATTGTGCTAGTGCGACATCTTTGATTGCTCGCACAGCCTCCTTGCCGTTAGTCCATCTC